GGTAATTGTCCTATTCTACTCAGCACTGGTGAGGCCTGGTGTGCTGTGCCCTATTCTGGGTGCCAGGCTTTAGGAAAGATGTGGACAAATTGGAGAGCGTCCAGAGGAGAGCAACAAAAATGATAACATGTTTAGAAAACCTAACCTAAGAGGAAAGGTTAAAAAAAAACTGGGCATGTTGAGTCTTGAGAAAAGAAATCTGAGAGAGGAACTGATAACAGTCTGCAAATATGCTAAGGGCTGTTATAAAGAGGTCAGTGATCAGTTTTTCTCCTTTTCCACTGAAGATACAACAAGAAGCAATGGACTTAATCTGCAGCAAGGGAGATTTAGGTTAGATGTTAGGAAAGTCTTTCTAACAATAAGGATAGTTAAGTTCTGAAATAGGCTTCTGAGGGAGGCTGTGGAATCCTTATCACTGGAGGTTTTTAAGAACAGGTTGGACAGACACCTGTCAGGGATGGGCTAGGTTTACTTGATCCTGCCTGAGTGTAGGGGACTGGACTTGATGACCTCTCAAGGTCCCTTCCAGCCCTACATTTCTGTGATTCCGTCTGTTGAGGTCTAAGGCATTAATTGTGGCAGCGCTGAAGAGCTTGAGTCTGATCTCATTAACCCCCATTTTAAACTCCATTGGTCTCACTGGAGTTCATGCCTGATTTATGAGTGTAAGTGAGAGCAGAATCTGGCTCCTTGGGTCAATACTAGAGCTGATCAAACCTCAGAGTGTCCATTCTACAAGATACTCTGACATTCCAACATATATTTTCATCCCAACTCAAAACAAAAAATTGAAGTTTCCCATTAAAAAAAAGAATCTCAGAAAAATGTCATGCTGGAAGTGTCAGAACAACCTCATCAAAGTGCTTTGTTTCAAATTTATCATTTTGACTTTTAATATCATTTATGATATTATAACATGACTTTTATATTTACAAATTATAATATATAATAGTCAAAACAAAGCCAAAATGAGGTGCTTTGATCTTATTACTCTTAAGCACTTTGATAATTTTTCATCAAAAATTTTGACTGAATTGACAGTTCTCATGAAACATGTTGATCTCACTGACATAGCATTAGCCGATAGAAAATTGTTTGCCACCTGGCAGGCTGTTGCTGTTGTTTCTACATTTGCTTCCTCTCCTCTGCTGTGAAAAAGATAGTAAATATGTTGAGTTTCAATGCATGGAGCCACCTAGTGGACATTACAGATGCTGTTACATGAAAGAGCTGTGGAAACAAGTGGCATGAGAGAGGGGTGTGAGTAATGGTGTGCATTTGTCACAGATGTGAGTGAGAGAAGTTCACAAGACTGTGTGTCCCAGGGGAGGAGCAGCAGGAAGCGTGGGGGAGGGAAATGAAGTACTGAGGGGGGAAAAGAAAGTGAAGGATGATAAAAAACATGGGTTGGGGAAGGAAAGAAGGGGTATGTACAAAAAAGAGAGAAGGGTGGGGAAGAGTGAAATTGTTACACATTTTTTGGTGATTTTCAAGACCTCCCCTTTTGTAACACTGAAACAAACACTTAAAATTAAGAACCCATCCACCCCTAATGCATTAATGGATGGACAGTCCTTTATGTACAGTAAATGCACTTTAAAAGGCACAGTGAATCACCCACGTCCCACATCTATCTCACAGGGAGAAATCTATGGCCAGCTTGGCTGTCGCTGTGTGATAATTGTTGACAAATGCCAAGATAATTTTGGTGCTCAGCTACTGCAGCGCTGAGCATCTTAGAAATTGTTTACAGGGGTGTAATTATTTGCAGTTAGCTACCCACAGAATTCGCAGCACCCAAGGTGTTTCTAATAGGATATCAAGGGAAGAACATGGGACTTCTGTAGATAGGGAGATAACTGTATCTATTTATCCAAGGTAAAATTGGCAAGCTCCATCGCTTGGTGTGGGGGTGGAGGCCTTTTGATGGCAACCGCTGTATGGGTCAGAGGTGGTGTTGCCAGTGATATTCAAAGCTGGTCAGTTAGAAAGGACTGGTACCATTTGCATTGCTGCCTCCGAGTGGGGACTTCCACAGTCCCCTTCTGCTTCATCCTCTTTGTACTAGAGAAGAAGGAGCTACTGTCCTCTGAGTGACAGGCCTGACACTGGAAAGCTCACAGGAGAAATGAACAAAGCAGTTCCTGAGCAAGAATTCCTCTACCTCCTGACTGATAAAGAGCCCTCCAACCAGGAGGGTGCAGGCGAATCCTGGAGGGCGCTCGCCAAGGGATCTATGGGTTCAGAACCATTAACAGTCCAGAAATAAAATAGCAGCAGAATGAAAATGCAAAGAATATGGGATCTTAAATGTTCAAGGAAGCTATTTACATTACTCTTTTGTGAGGCAGTCAGTGACGGTGAGCTCTCTGACTCCACTCCCTACAGTGGCTGCTACTAGGTAAGGCTGGGATGAGAGTAGCTGAGATGTTCACCCGCCATTCCCTACAGCAATGGTTTTCAACCTTTTTCCATTTGTGGACCCCTAAAAAATTTTGAATGGCGGTGCGGGCCCCTTGGGAAATCTTAGACACAGTGTGCAGACCCCAGGTTGGAAACCACTGCCCTACAGCAACTCCTGCCTGGAGAGTCTGGGGCTAACGTAGCTGGCAACTCCCCTACAGCTAGTGCCTTGGTCCATTTCCTGCTGCCCCCTGCTGGGAGAGAGCGGGACTGGAGTAACTGCTGCTGTCTTATACCCTACACAGCTCTTGGTAGAACAGGCTGGTACTGGCAGGAGCAGCATTAGCCATTCCGCCGGGCAGGGCAGAGAACGTTTTTGGTGTCACCTCCTCCCCGCGAGTCCCTGAGCAGAAAAAAAGCCAAGTCCCTCCCCCTGCCAAAAAATCCCCCAGCAGAACAGCACAGTGGTGCAGCACCCCCTGGAAGCTGGCACCCCCGCTTCCCCGCCCCAGGATACAGAAGTAACTGCTGGCGCCCTGTTCTGTCCCCAACAGCGCCTCCTCCTGAGAAAGGCTGGGAGTGGAGTAGTTGGGAGCTTCCCCACAGGGGTGCACCTGCCTCTTTCCCCTCACAGAGCTCCTTGCTGGGAGAGGCTGGCACCACTTTCGCCATAACCTGGGGTGCTCCCCACAGCCATTGTAGGGTCTGCCCAGACTCATCCATTTCAAACCGGCAAGCATGCTGACTTTCCGCTGTGCCAGAGAAAGAAACCTGTCAGCTGCATCCCCACAGCCCCCACCTGCGATGCATCCCTCCAAGTGCTCCCTCGCTGCCGGAGGGCAGTGTCTGGAGTTCATTCCAGAATTTCTCTCCCCAGGCCTGCCCTTGGGGAACCCGGCTTCCCAGCATCGGGCCCCCAGCTGGAGCGGTGATCACTGCTCCCCTCTGGCTCATGGCAGTGGAGGCATCAGAGGGTTAAGTTGTCAGCTCTGTAATGTTAAACAGGTGTCAAAGGCGCCTCCATATATCTGCAGATTGAAATCAAATTCTTTGCAGTATAAAAAGATAAATTACCCAGGCGATTCCCGCCTCATCCCACTCATCAGGCCAGCGCCAGACGGCAAGCAATTTTTTTTTTAATGTGCTAACGACCTAATCAAGCAATCAAGTTGGAGAAGATTGCGGAGTGACCCCGAGCATCCATCTGCCAGCGAGACCCCGCCATTCATTTCCACTCTGCCATGTACTTCCCTGGAAAGAAAAAAAAATTCCTAAACAAATTAACACCCAATTTTCCGTGAGTCTAATTAGTTAAATGAGGAGGTGGTTGGGGTGTCCTCAGGGAAGGAGGGGCTGCCTCACAGAGAGGCGAATGGTAACTCCGTGGCATTAATTAGCGCGGGTCAATGGCGCGGTTCCCTGGGGACCAGCTGCTTTAATTTCCCGTGATATTTCAGTGCCTGAGGCCCATCGATTCAAACTGAAATTAACTTATTTTTCAATCAGGCCCGGGCTGCCCCTGGGGCTGACTCTTCCTTTGCCGCCTTCTGAATAGACCTCAAGCAATTTTTCATCTAAAGCTGATGCCTCTCCACTACGGGAAGGGAGGGAATGAGGGGAGGGTGGGGGGAGAGCGAGACAAGAGGAATGGAAATCGGAGCGAGAACACTAATAGATTTCTGTGAGTCTCCCCCCCCAAGTCCCCTTGGTGCCACCCGAGTCTCTGCTCACTGCCCCCTGGGTCACAGCCCAGAGATTATTCTGCCAATTTTCTGAGAAGATGAGGGGCTTTTCAAATGGGGAATTCAGGGCAAGCTGTGGCGATTGCCTCCTACCCCACACACCACCCTGGGCCGACCCTCCCCACAGACACCGCTGCACACAGCCTCTCTCTGCGGCTCAGCCACTCAGTAAATAATGAAACAGAAAATCCCAGGCACCCGAGCCAAAAGCCACTAGCGAGACACTGCAATGGAAAATTAATTACATCCTGCAGCAAGGGATGGGACTTGCACTGAAGCTTGGCTCCTGCCAGGGTGGGGAAAAGACACAGTCTACTGGAGGGGCGCAGGAGGGGAGGAAAGCTACAGCTGCTCCAGTAGAGGCAATGTATTGCCCCCCCGGGGTAGACATGGCGGCCCCTGCGGGAGATGTGCACAGCCACTCAGGGGAGAGGCGGAGCTGCTCCTGAGACATCTCCATGGCCCGTAGAAGGGCGCTTCCCACCCTCTCCCATGAGATAGAGGGATATTGGCAGAGCTGTGTATAGAGAGTCCCACCATTGACGTAGCAAGGGGACCTGAGGGGCATCAGCAGAGCAGCAGGTGGAAGCTTGCCCATTTCTGGCCTGCACTGTGCCCTATCCATTCAGCATGGTCAGGCCTGTGCTGTTGTCAGGAATAAAGGTGACTAAAGTCTCTCGCAACATTTGTAATAAGTCTCTCTTGTTTTGGCTTGTGATTCCTGAGGGGGACATATTTCCTCACACAGATAGCCAAAAGCACACGTTCGTGCACGCGCACACAGAATCCCAGGCTAACTTAGGGGGCAGCGACAATTCACCGGGCCTCAGTAAAGTGCTCTGCTCTTTGCAGGTTTGGTTCCAGAATCGTCGGGCCAAGTGGCGGAAGCGGGAGAAGTGCTGGGGCAGGAGCAGCGTGATGGCAGAATATGGGCTGTATGGCGCAATGGTACGTCACTCAATCCCGCTGCCAGAGTCTATCCTCAAATCTGCCAAGGATGGCATCATGGAGTCCTGCGCCCCTTGGCTCCTGGGTAAGAGACCAGCACCCTCCCTGGGCACAGCCAGTATTCCAGGGAGTGACATGTTGAAATAGGGAAACTTAGAGTAACATTGGAAGTGTTGAGTAAGGGAGGAAATTATCCCGCACTCACACTTTCCCCATACCCCCAAGCACAAGGACACTGCCTTTTATATTAGGGACTGACCCCTGGGGCATGGGGTCGGGCTGCCATCCCTGGGTCCTGACTTGAGGGGCAAGGGTATCAGCCTGTTGGCCCAAGGGTGGGGTAAGCTATCAGTCCTCGGGTCCAGACTCATGGGGGAGGAGGGCTATCAGCCCTGAGCCCAGACTCCTGTGGCATGGGGTGGGGGTACCATCCCACTGGCCCAGGTTCCTGTGGCATGGGCGTCAACATCCACTGTACTCAAAAGCCATAACAGGCTGGGTTCCCTGCTACACAGCAAGAAATTGTCTGGGTCTGACTCCTGCAGCCCTTAAGGGGTCCCCTGTGTGATCCTTTGCTTGGGGCGGGGGGCAACTTTTTTGTGCCTGTGATGAATCAAGTGTCCTCTTGAGTCCTCTTTTTGGGAGGAAGGGAGGGACTGGCATTCTCCCGCAGCTCCTTGCAGCTGAAGGCAGTCTAATTCCTGCCTGCCTTCTTCTGGTGGACCGGGGCTGTGTGGATGTGGAAGTAGCAGATTCCCTTTCACATTCCTGCTCTTTGCTTCCTGTTTTCTGATCTCTCAGGCTCATTCTGCCAAAAAGCTCATTTCTGGCCTCTTAGAAATACACTGCCCTGTCCTTCTGTCTGTGTGAATTTGGGAGCGAGAAAGGTGGAGGGGTAGGCTGGGCAAGAGGGAGGAGAACAGGCAAAGGGACACCTCTTGTCAGCCCTGTGGGTGAGAGAATAGCCAGATACCCCTCCTGCTACCTGGCTCCAGTAACAGGGTGCTGTACAAACCCCCCTCCCCCCCACACCGTTATCTTGTCATTGCTAGTTGGGTACCTTCACTGTTCGCTAGCACCAGGGAGCCCATTCTGTTTGGTCCCTCATGCCCCGGTCCTGCAGCCACACCCGTAACCTCTGGGGCAGGAAATCTCTGGCTCTTCATGATGTTTAGACTGTGCCTCCTGAAGTGGCATCATATTCGGCACATTTGTCCACTTCTAGGGTGACCAGACATCCCGATAAAATCGGGACTGTCCCGATATTTTGGTGTCTGTCCCGCGTCCCGACCAATCTTTGGTTGGGACGCATTTTGTCCCAATATCCGCTGGCAGCACTGTGTTTTTTTGCTCAGCCTTTTTTTTTCTCTCTGCCGGCGGGCACCCCCCCCATGTGCCCATGTGTCCCGATATTTTCTTCCCCTCATCTGGTCACCCTATCCACTTCTCAGAATTGGCCCTTGAGGAGCACAGGGATCTGTCCCCTCCCACCACCCTCCTCTCCCTTAGGTATGGCCTATCTCAGTTCTAGCCAAGTTCCATGCCTTTTGCTACAGGCCAGGTTCCTCCCTTATGTTTGGCCTGTTCAGAGCACAGAGTTGGCACAAGCTCCCCCCTCTGGTCTGTCCTGGGCTCCTCCTCAGTGCTGGCCTGTCTCTAGAAGAGAACTGGCCTGAGTTCTCCCTCATGCAGGGCCCAAAGCAATGGGCTCTCTGTGTGACTGCTGTTTGAAGCAAGGGTTTCTGCTTTTCCTTAATTCTGGCCTCTCTTTATCTTTGCTGTTTTCAGTTCAAGATGGCTTTCCCATGCCCAGGCGCTTTTCTAAACCCGAATACCAACAATTCTTTTTAGGGATGCACAAAAAGTCTCTGGAGGCAGCAGCTGAGGTGGGAAGGAAGCCGGAGGTGGAACGCCAGGCCCTGCCCAAGCTCGACAAGAGCAACAAGGAAGAGAGGGGCCCGGATCCCAAAACCACCATTTCCCAGGAGGAACTGAGAGAGAACAGCATTGCTGCCCTCAGGGCCAAAGCTCAGGAGCATAGCACCAAAGTCCTGGGGACCGTCCCTGGGGACCCCCCCACCCCAGCCAGGAAGCCAGAAAAAGAGGAGGAGGCAGCGTCAGAGGATGAGAGACAAATGGAGAAATCAAACTCATCACAAGAGGAGGAGAAGCAGATCTAGAGGGAAAGAGATGATGGAAACCAGCCCCCAAAGACTGTCTCCTCTGGGGGGCTGCAGCCTCCTCTCAGACTGACAGGGCCCCTCCGACAGCCCCTGCACAGGGAGTGAGGCCCCACATGGTCTCTGTGCATTTCAGGAAGCCACAGGCTCAGGCCAAGTTCTGACTGTCAGGTGTGTCCAGAGACTTCCCCTCAGGAGCATTCCTGCCCCTCCATCCTCCCTGCCCTCAGGACTATTCCTGCCACACTGCCCCCTCCTTTCTGAGGGATCAGGAATTATCACCATCTTCTTCTGAGAGGAGGCTGGGGCTAACTGAGGCTCTGGGTCCCTCTGTACCAGCCTGAGAACCAGCTTTGGGTCTCTCCTGCCCTGGTCCAACATACCCAGCCTCAGAATGAGTCTCTGTCCCACCCATTCCCATGTCAGAGCGACTCTCTCCCCCCCGGTCCAGTCTCCCCCACCCCGACCCTGAAAGCGAGTCTATCCTCTGCTGCATTCCCACCTGCCCAGAGCAGCATGAACTCCATCTCCTACAGAATGTGCTCCTCCCCAGTGTGTTTATGGCACCTGGCCATTGGCACTCAAGGACCTGATGTGGGTGGGGCTGCCCCGCTGCCCTCACAGGGACCATTTTACTCTTTCTCCAACCTAAAGCACTGCGGGACAAATCCATGGAAGTGTTTGCGTAAAACAGTGAGTCTATTTAAATGGTGGTTTGTATATTCCATGTGTGTCTTTCCTGACTGAGTGGTGGGGTGTCCCGGGGCACTCTGAGACAGGGAGGGTGGTGTGCTGGACAGCTGATTTTGGTCTCAGTTTTCCAGTAAGAAGCCAAGGGGATGGGGAAGAGCAGGCTTAACTTCCAGGAGCTGATCCCTACAACCTCAGGTACCCAAGACCCACCCCTTCCCTTTGGGAGTATCCCAAGTCCTACACCTGTCTTCCCCTGTAGGCATGCCGAAGACTCATAACCCACTCAGGTACCAGGTTCCTGCCTTCAGCCACCCTGAACACATACTACACCTGACATCATGCCTAACAGGTATCCAGGATCTCACGGGTACCCAAGTGTTGCTCCCAGCTTCACCCCTTTCAGGTAACTGAGACCCGCCTCCTCCCCTTATCAATACAGGCTCCGCCCCTGGTGCTGCACCCTGCTACATAAGAACGGCCATAGTGGGTCAGACCAAAGGTCCATCCAGCCCAGTATCCTGTCTACCGACAGGGGCCAATGCCAGGGGCCCCAGAGGGAGTGAACCTAACAGGTAATGATCAAGTAATCTCTCTCCTGCAGTCCATGTACTATATCATTTTAGCTGTAATCTAGGCTGCCTCAAACTGCTCCCTAGAAATATTTGGTCAGCACATTCTACTCCCCAGCATAAACTGCTGAGGTTTAATCATATGGATTAATAACAGAGTCCTCGCTGCAAGCATGCCCTGGTTCCAGCCTGTTTCCACAAGGCTCATTCTCAGAGACTTGGCTACAGCCCCCAGAACAGCGGGGCATGCCAAGAGAGCGAGAGGCCTGCAGGCTCTTCTGAATCTCCATGTGGAGTGGGTCAAATATTGGGGGGAAATATTCACTGAATAAATGGTTCTATATCTAACAACAATGTTTGCCAAATTAGGTATTTATTGAGCTATTCCCCACCAGCTCTGTCTCTGAGTTTCAAAGGGAGCTCCAGCCGCATCCACGGATATGCAGGCATGCTCATAAACGCTCTGAGGCATACATATGCCTTACACACAGACCCCCACATGAATACACACAGGCCCTGTCACTAACAACCAACAAAGCCCACTAGCCAGACATCACAGCTCCAAGATAACATTCTCCACCTATCCTGGTGAGGAGCCACCCTCCATGAAGGCTCTAGGACAGCAACTTACACCTGTCCTTTCTGTCCTGCTTTCCGCTGTGAGCTGCTTTTCCCCAGAGCTACTGTTTTTATTCTGTCAAAGGTTGATCCTTCCCTTCCATGCAGCCTCTGTTTGTCTTTGTCTCCAATTTGTTTGACGTGTTAGACTATAGCCCATGGTATGTAAATACTGTACAAACAGTGAGAAAAGAATTTGGTATTGAGGTGTTTGAGGTATGGAACTGTAACAACTTCTAGTCATTCAGAACCTGTGAGTTATGTGCCATTTTCTGTAAAGATATAAACAAGAATAAAGGTAAACTAAAGCTAGCAACAAGCTTGGAGGAATCATCGTCTTTTGGAGAGAGAAAGAGGGAGAGAGAGAGAGAGAGAGAGAGTGTGTGTGTGTGTGTGTGTGTATATATATAAGGGAGGGCTAAATGTTGCCCAGCGGAATAAAATAAAAACATGGAGCAGCCCAAAGAATTTGCTTTGTGCCGGAGCCAATGGAACCTAAAAATGTTCAACTTCTGTTCACAACCCACTATTTCCAATAGGGTGCCAAATGTGGCCCAATGAATTCTCAGTTCTGTTATGCATAGAGAGGGAGCTGGGCCCCCCAACAAGAGACTAGCACATTTCAAGCAGCACCAAATCACATTGCAGCGAGAGAGGTGCTCAGGGGCCACATTTATAATTTGCTCCCCAAACGCCACAGACTATCTTACACTCAAAGGCCAAAATGCAAGGGAGTTATTTCCTGGACATCATGTAGGATGTAGGGAAGCTTGGGGGCCTCCTGCGAAGGGGGCTAGTGGTGTATGTTCTAAGGCTCCATACTTCAAGATTTACATAGCGCTGCTTCCAATACCCTGAGTGTACACACATGCCCCATACACAGGATTTCACTTCTCACACCTCATAAGCATCCCACTTCAGCCATGTACACTCTGTCTCACAAGCATTTATACTTTGCACACACACATATGGTCACACCTCATAGACACATTGCACACACCTTGCACACACCTGTACTTACACACTCATACTTACCCAGGCACAGTTCTGCTTTGCACACCCATGCACCTCACATACACCCTGCAGACATGAACACACTTGACGTACCAACACAATGCCATGCTTACACTTTGTGCACATCCACGACTTGCATGCACCCATTGCAGTTGTCCACACTTCACTTAAGTGTACACAGCACACTTGGCAGACATGTCATTCAATTTAATAGTATTGTATTGATATGACAAGCTATAGGAGCGTTGCCAAAGTAGCAAACATACCAGGCATCGTGTAGAGATAGCTACAGTCTGGTTTAGATGGGGCTTCACAACTGCACATGGAACCAGAAGTCCTGTTCTGCAGCATTCTCAATAAAAATGGTATGGTAACTGGCCAATACAATATATCCATGAAGTCAAGGCAGTGTCCTTCCTCCCTGAGAAAACCATTGGGCATATCTTAATTATCCTTCATTGCTCATTCACCAATGTAAAAAATACACAATGGGGGAGATGTGCCTCTTTTATAAAAGAGGTTGGTGACACTTTCGACTCAGTCTGGCACCCAGGACTGAACCGTCCATTGCTACAAAACCTTCAATTGCTATTGGGGTTGTGGAGCGGGGGAAACATACGACTCCATTTACCAAGTTAGATGTAGGGAAAAAGACAATTGAATGCAAATGGAGGCCTTCAACTGAGAAAGGCACGAGAGAGCACGTGCAGAGGGGTCCGTCTCACACGTTGGCATCACAGGCAGCGCTTGTCATGCCAACAAAGTATTACTGAACTGAAATGGAAATTGCAAGTTTGGGCTTTTACGTCAGCCCACTCTTTTCAGCACACACTTCAGTGACCTATCAGTCCTACTGGCGCAATCCCTTGATCCAGCTGATCCAGGGTACTACTCAGAGATAAAGCCACCAGTGGGGCTAGAGAACACACACTGCACCTCAGGAGGAAGTGATGCAAAGGTGTCTTTAAATGCAAAGCTCCCCAAGTCTGGACACCAAGCCAGTCACTCAGTGTAACTGAGAGCAGCCTGAAACTTGCTCTAAATTTCACCAGGCTATAGGAAAGCCCTGGCCATGAGGAGAAGAGGGACTGAAAGCTTTATTACCTAATATATATGTCACTGGAACTAACTGATTTAAAAGAAACAATTCCACATTAGCTGATACCTAACCACAGTGCCAAACTTCCACGGACTCTTAACAAATACAGAATCAGTGCCCACAAGCAAGAGGGAGAAGCTCTGCAACTGGAGATACAAATAAAGAGAGGAACAGCTAGGCAGAGAAGAGATTGAAATAGTCATTTTTATTCCTGTGTCCAAACTCCAAGGGTGTGAGAGACAGGCTTCCTCAAACTATCAGAAAGACTTAAAGACTTTCCATTAAACGGCAATAAAGAAAAACTAGGTAACCCTGTGTAGCCAATGCACTGGCCCTGGCCCTATCTTGGCGTGAAAAGAAAGTGATGCAGAGATGGCACCAGTGTCTGCATCAGGAACTGACAAAAATGACAGTGAATTCATGGGGGACCAGTCACAGAATCATAGACGTGTAGGACTGGAAGGGACCTCAATAGGTCATCTACTCCAGTCCCCTGCACTCATAGCAGGATTAAGTAATAACTAGACCATCTCTGACAGGTGTTTGTCTAACCTGCTTTTAAAAAGCTCTTAAAGACAGAGATTCCACAACCTCCCTAGGCAATTTATTCCAGTGCTTAACGACCCTGACAGAAAGTTTTTTCTAATGACCAACCTAAACCACCCTTGCTGCAATTTAAGCCCATTGCTTCTTGTCCTAGCCTCAGAGGTTAACAAGAACAATTTTTCAGCCTCTTCCTGGTAACAACCTTCAAAACTGTTATCATGTCATCCGCCCCCAACCCCCCAGTTCAGTCTGCTTGTATGACACATTATGCCAATAATTATCATCAAATTACACCTCACCCACAATGCACATAGCCCACTCCCCAACAAACCTCCTGTGTCTAATCTCCAGGCACCTATAGCTGTAATTCACTGGTGAGGGTATATCCCACATCCCCAACCCACAGAAGATGTGAGCCTAATACAGGGACCAGTTACAGAGCCTGACTCTTTAGCGCTTCAGCTCTGGAGGTCCCTGGTAGGGGGTGGGGGGAACGCGACACAAATGCTGTGGGGCTGGGGGAACAGACAGATACAGGGACTGTGGAGAGTAGAATTGATGTGGGGCTAGAGGGGCAGAATTAACTGCTGGTCAGGGGACAGGCAGATGGGGGGTTGGGGGCACTGAATTGTTCATTTGGGGGAGAAGCTGGAAGCTCTACACTATGCGGCAGCCCACAATAGTTCTTGCAGCAAGGGGCCAAATCACTTTATCTGTTTGGGAGCACTGGCAACACTAAATTTGCCACCCCCCCATACGCAGTGGGGATGGGCGGAGGGAGTGGGAGGAGTTAAAAAAATCAAAGATGGACCAAAAACCACAATATAATATTTTTTTGAAAAAAAAACAACTCATGATTTTGGGGGCAATCTAGTGATTTTGGGGGAAGCAGTCATGATTCTTTGAATATTTAGGGTTGGCAATACTGCCTGATGGGGGCTGCTTAGGAGGGTATTTCTACTGATGGGAGGGACACTGCAGAGGGGGACAGATGTAGTGGAAGTGCAAGGGAGCAGGGCAGAGCGGGGACTCAGGCAGAAAACTAGAGGAAGGTTTGCCTGCTCTGAACCCTTACACCACCAAGTGGTGGAGATGGGGCTCGGTGTTGCCTAGGCTTAAGAAAGTGCCAATGTGACTATGAGGTAGGACTGTATCTGAGTCAGGGCCGGCTCCAGGCACCAGCTTCTCAAGCAGGTGCTTGGGGCGGCCGCTCCGGAGAGGGGCGGCAGGTGCAGGTATTCGGCGGCAATTCGGCGGACGGTCCCTCACTCCGGCTCGGAGTGAAGGACTTCCCGCCGAATTGCCGCCGCAGATCGCGATCGCGGCTTTTTTTAGATCGCGATCGCGGCCTTTTTTTGGGGGGTTTGGCTGCTTGGGGTGGCCAAAACCCTGGAGCCGGCCCTGATCTGAGTTGCTCATGTCTAGTGTGGACACACTGACCCATTTGTGCACTATTGACTGACGAGCAGACAGTGTAAGTCTCGCTTGTAGACAAGGCCTCATCCTGCTGCATAAAGAACAATCCTGGTGTTTTGCTTTTGTCACAGGGTCATTAGTATGTTGTATACACACAAGGAGCTGAACAATGACAATCAGTCCTCCTTTGAGGGACTTATGCAGTGGGGTTACAGCCCTAACCTGTAACTCTGCCAATGGTTCTGATGCTAGGCGAGACACTCCCCTCTCCCCCACCCCCGCTCCTTTTCTCTATGGAGGCAGCCCCTCCCTGTGGACAGACTTTCTTCCTCACTGGTACCTGATCAGCGCTTTAGGCAAGTCAGATTTCCACTGATCAGGGAAACAAGAGCCACAAGGGATCCCACTAATGAAGACTGAAGAATTAGAGACTCATTAACCTTCTGGGCTCCACCATTGATTCCTTCAGCATGTCTGGCCTGGCATCAAGACTGGCCTGGGCTTTGGGTTGCCAGTTTTGGTTGGACGTATTCCTGGAGGTTTCATCACAGGACATAATCTTTAATTAAAAATTAATCTGTAATTCCTGGAGACTCCCGGACAATCCTGGAGGGGTGGCAACCCTACCTGGGCTTGTCACAGCCCCCTACTGCAGGGGGATGGGGATCCCCCTCATGTTCCTCCCTCCTCATTCCTGTCCCTTGCAAAGCAATTGGTTAGATTCTATAAAAAAACAAAACCTTTGCATTAAAAATAGTTGTCTATTTAGGCCCTGAGGAAAAGAAAAACAGAAAGAAGCCGGCAGCTCTCATGTTCAGAGATAAAATCATTCCTGCCATGGGCAGGAGGCATAAATTAGATGCGATGGAATGTAGAGATTCACTCCAGTACCACAGGGGGAGAGTACACAGACCAATACCCCCGAGTCTACCTGAGGAAGATGGCCTGGCTTGATCCCATAACCCCAGTCCACCATAGGACATGGCCTGGCCCAATGACTTGTCCCATGGGTTAGGGGGATGGAATTGGGGTGGAAGATGGCACAGCTCAATATGCCCATAGAGGTAGGTGCTGAGCACACCATGGCACTACTCACAGGGGGAGCCAGCCAGGGCCAGCTCCAGGCACCAGCCGAGTAAGCTGGTGCTTGGGGCGGTAGATTGTTTGAGGCGGCATTCCGCCCAATCCTAGGGCGGCATGGCTGCTTTTTTTTGTTT